TCTCATTTACTTTTCCTGATTCTTTCATTTTCACGACTACCTTACAATCAAAATGTAAAATAATTAAGCATTATAATTTTGTGAAGATTTCAGTGGAGCAATCACAAGATTACAAATGCAGTGTTCGGTTGTATATGTCCCTTACTGGCTACCTCATCCGCCCTAGGATTTCTCTTTTGGTGTGGTTTTCGCTTTGGGACCATATTGTGCGTAACGCCATTTTTGGTTCTTGCCATTGGTAGGTAATTTTTTCATAAATTTTCCGAATTTTCATTCCCTATAGCATTTTTTGGAGGAATTTAACGTAGCCATTTAAGGTGTCGATGATGCTTACCTCATGATGCATTCGTGGATGCGAATCTCTGTTGATGATCCAACAATGACAAGACGTGAAAGGTACGACTTATCCTTGACCCCAAACAAAATTTTTTTTCTAAAAAAATCATTTTTAGAATAGCCCACATGCTAGTGGATGTGGGTCCATCTGTAACTATTACCTCATTGACGAATTTTCTGGCTTTTCTCGTGGGTTATTATACCCCAACTCCAGAAATTCAGCTATTTTGTATAGGCAACGCAGTGGCAATACTATTCGATTACTTTTATCAGGTATGATTTTCATATTTAGCTGTAATTTGGTTTTGGCATCTTGCCAATCATTAAGTGCCCCTATAAGTCTTGCACTAGTTTTTTGAAAATTCATAAACTTTTCCAACTTGGTGAATTGATTTGTTATAAGAATCACTGAGGAGAATGAATTATGTGCTTCCTAAAGATGCTTTTTTCCAGAATTAATGTTGGCAAATCTTAGTGATAGGTTTTCATTTAAAACATTCAAAAAACCAAAATTTCATCTCTTCGTTTTCTTACAGCTACAAAATCAGTTGTAATTATAAGATCAATTTCGATCGTTTCATTGCTTTAGAAATTATGAGAAAGAGAAGTCATTCAAATAATTTTGATTTCTGGTCAGAAACGAATCTTTTGGCTGAAAAAAAACTGGACTAACCCACCCCCTATCCTTGATTCAACCAGATAGGCGGCTGGGAGGCGGGCTTTCGT